TTTTTTGGTCAGTTGTGGGGCCTGAACTCTGGGCCAGGGCTCTGTCCCTCAGCTCTTCAGCTCAAAGCTAACACTATTGACTTGAGCCACAGCGCCACTTCTGGCTTTTTCTGCTTATATGGTGCTAAGGAATTGAACCCAGGGCCTCATGCATGCGATGCAAACACTCTTCCACTGAGCCACCTTCCCAGTCCTTAAATTACATTTTTAAATTCAGTGTTTTATGAAAAACATTATTACATGCACTACAAAACAAATTAAATTTCTCCTGAGCTAATACCAACTCACCATTTTACTTTAGAATATAGTAATAGAATGAAATAGCTTCTTCCCGTTGAATTTACACTTTTGTTTAACACACTGCTCTATAACAATTTGAAACACCTGGAAATGTTCATTCCAGTCAATGATATGTGGAATTAATTGTATGTGGAATTGAATCTGACAATAACTAGGATACTATGGAAGCATAAGATAGCTAACAAGTGCAAGGCCAATGGAAGAGTCAAAAGTATATGTCATATACGTGAACCCAGTGAGAAATGTGTAGTGAAATTTTCTCTAATCAGTGAATACTGGAAATAACATTCTCTTTACTTTAGGTGCACATTAGAAAATCCTTATTACCGCAGGGCCCCAGTAGCTCATTTCTGTAATCCTAGCTACTCAGAAGGCTGAGATCTGAGGATCCTGGTTCAAAGCCAGCACAGGCAAGGTCTATGAGACACTTATCTCCACCCAACAGCTGAAAGTGGAACTGTGGCTCCAGTAACAGAGCACTAGTCTAAGCCAAAAAGTTCAGGGACAGCGCCTATGCTCTGAGTTTAAGCCCCAGAACTGGCATGAAGGAAGGAAGGAAACAAAGAAGCAAGCAAGCAAGCAAAAAGCCGAGTGGGGCTGGGAAGGTAGCACAGTGGTAGAGCACTTGCCTTGCATGCCTGAGACCCTGGGTTTGATTCCTCAGCACCACATAAGCAAAAAGAAAAAAGCCGTAAGTGGCGCTGTGGCTCAAGTGGTAGAGCGCTAGCCTTGAGCTGAAGAGCTGAGGGACAGTGCCCAGGCCCAGAGTTCAGGCCCCATGACGGGACCCAAAAAAAAAAAAAAGCCGGGTGCCTTTGGCTCATGCCTGTAATCCTAGTTACTCTGGAGGCTGAGATCTGAGGATCGCAGTTCAAAGCCAGCCCAGGCAAGAAAGTCCCTAAGACTCTTACCTCAAAAAGACCATTCAGGGGCTGGGAAGGTGGCTCAGTGGTAGAGTGCTTGCCTTGCATGCATGAGGCCCTGGGTTGGATTCCTCAGCACCACATAAGCAGAAAAAGCCGGAAGTGGGGCTGACACTCAAGTGGTAGAGTGCTAGCCTCCAGCTGAAGAACTGAGGGACAGCGCCCAGGCCCAGAGTTCAGGCCTACAAACGACCAAAAAAAAAAAAAAAAAAGAAAACTACTCAGAAAACCAGAAGTGGCACTGTGACTCAAGTGGTAGAGTACTAGCCTTGAGCTGAAGAGCTAGGGACAGCACCCAGGCCCAGAGTTCAAGTCCCACGACCGGCCCCCCCCCAAAAAAAAAGGAAAGGAAAGAGAGAAAGAAAATCCTGAGTAGCAGCAGCTGAAATAGACAGAGAAGCTGACAGCAGTGAAAGTTATTACATTTATCTCTGCTTAGCAGACTGATCCTAAAGCAGTGTCTTATACAAATTAGGAAGCAAAGCTGAAGTAAGAGACCTTCCTTAATTCTCCCAACATTCCTCTTTCATCTTGTAAATTATAGTATCGGCTTAAGAGAATTTAAAATGCGGGGTTGGGAAGGTATCTCAATGGTAGAGTGCTTGCCTCGCAAGCATGAGGTCCTGGGTTCGATTCCTCAGCACCACATAAGCAGAAAAGGCCAGAAGTGGCACTGTGGCTCAAGTGGTAGTGCACTAGCATTGAGCTGAAAAGCTGAGAGACAGTGCCCAGGCCCAGAGTTCAGGGCTCACAACCGACAAAAAGAGAGAGAGAGAAAGAGAGAGAATTTAAAATGCTCACAGAAGTTAAATGAGATTCCAACCTCAATCTTCTAGTCATATTACAACTCAGAAAGCAGAAATTATTTATGGTACAAATGACGAATGTGTCTTCAATACTAAACACATGCAAGCCTGGGCAGAAAGGATGGCCCAGGTAGTAGAGTACCTAACAAGCTAGGCCGAATTCAAGCCCCAGTACTGCCAAAACAGACAAACAAAAAAAGGTAAGCCTGTATTTGCCCTGTAAACTTCGTTTGTATCAATAGGAAGGGAAGATAGAACCATTATTTACTAAGCATGGATTCCTACAGTCAAGGACTCATACTAGATTATTTAAGCCTTACAGCAACAGTGTGGCAGACACAAAAACATCTCCTTTCTACAAATGAAGATGGGACTCAAAGTGATTAAAGGTGACTTATCCAAGGTCATACAGCTTTAGGACTTTACAACTAATGGTTGTGAATAACTTGCAGCGGTACCGATTTTATCACAAATCATAGGCACCGAGTATTTCTACAGTTTCTCCATTCAATCCCCCGAACGTCATATAATAGGGATTTATTTGCTGATGAAGAAACCGAAGCACACATAGTTAAAGGGACCTACACAGCTAATGTCAATGACTTCGACGTCAAGATTCTGTGTATTAGGATGATGAGATGATTTAGCCAAACAGCATGAAAACTAAGGGTCAGGAGCCAAGGTAACAATTCTATCCTCTAGAAATGAAGTTCTATAAGCGACAGCTCCCTTGCCATTATCTTGCAAGTCCAAAACAGGCAAGCGTGAGCCAGCCCAGGGCCGAGAGTCCAGCCAAGGAGAGGCTCCAACAAGGAGCCCAAAAAGGACTCGCCTCCTGCCGGCTCCCAGAGGCCTAGGCTAGGGGCGGCCAGGCCGCCCAAGACGGATAGGGTGCTGCACCAATCACCGAAGAGAACAGGAGACGGGCGAACCAATACGAGCTCAGGAAAAGGCCTAACGGAAGTCACGCCCCAAACTGTCAAGCGGAGCGCCGGTGGCTGGGGCCCGGGCCGGGGAGGGGAGGGGAGGGGGGGCGGGGAAGGAGTGTCCCGAGGGCCCGAAAGCGGGGAGGCTGGCGGGTGGCGACAAGGCTGAGGGCCCGGGTAAGGGTGGTGCTCACGCCCGGCCGCGTTCCCTCCCGCCCTGGTCTAAGCTCCGCCACCTTGAGCCCCTCAGGAGAAGAGGTTTAGTCTATGAAGGCGGTCCCGGCCGTCCGCGCTGGTGCCTGGGGATGCAGGCCCAACCTCGGGGTCCACCCAGGCCCAGATCTGCGACAGCCCAGGGCCTTACCTTGAGCTGAGAGCTGTCGGACACTGTTCACGAACTGCTCCAGGGCAGACGCCATGTTTCCCCGCAGGCGGCCCGAGCGGCAGGAGCAGCTCGCGCGGGAAAAGGCGGCCGCTCTGGGAGGAGGGGCCGCAGCGATACACTGGAGGGCCTTGAAGGCGATTTGACGTCACTTCCGCCTGCTCCAGCACCGCGAGATCTCACGCGGTTGGAATGCCCCCTGCTGTTTCCAAGGAAACAGTTCCGCCGCTCAACGTAACCGGAAGTTACTTCCCGCCCCGCCCATTCTTTCTTGGTTTTGGGCGCCCGTGAAAACATCTGTTCCCACGTTAAATGGAGAGTGGTCACCGCTGCTTGTAACTAAGCACGTTTTCCAGCTTGAGCTTTGCTGGGAATTTGCGTGATCTTCCTGGAAGGCAGAATGTAGGCTCTTGGTAGATGGGGTTCAAGTCCTTTCTTTCTGTTAGCAGCTTGTGATTTGAGCAAGTTACCTGGCAGTCCCCTGCCTTGCTTTTCCAATATGTAAAGATCTCAAAATGGGGGGCTGGGAGGGTGGCTCAGTGGTAGAGCGCTTGCCTTGCATGCCTGAGGCCCTGGGTTCGATTCCTCAGCACCACATAAGCAGAAAAGGCTGGAAGTGGCACTGTGGCTCAAGTAGTAGAGTGCTAGCCTTGAGCTGAAGAGCTCTGGGACAGCCCCCAGGCCCAGAGCTCAAGCCCCACACACACAAAAAAAATTGTGTTTCAAAGTATACAATCAAGAGAGGAAAAACACAACCCACAGAACAGAAGAAAAATCTGCTAACTATTCTTTTTTGGGTGGAGGGGGGGTCCGGTCGTGGGGCCTGAACTCTGGGCCTGGGCGCTGTCCCTCAGCTCTTCAGCTCAAGGCTAGCGCTCTGCCACTTGAGCCACAGCGCCACTTCCGGCCTTTTTCTTTTTGCTTATGTGGTGCTGAGGAATCGAACCCAGGACCTCTTGCATGCAAGGCAAGCGCTCTACCACTGAGCCACCTTCCCAGCCCCAACTTGCTTTCCATTCTTAACAGGGATGGAAATAAGTTGGTCGATTGGAGACAGGTACACATGACTGACTTTAGCACTGTCCTCTTACATGGACATGCTCCCTCATGATGGCGGCAGTCATCCTCGGTCTTTGATCTGTGGCAGCACTAGAGACAGATGTTTTGATTTAGAGGACACAGAGATATACATGGTTTTTAGCAAAAGATAACGTTTCAGAGAAGTAAAGCACTTCATGCTTTGACATGTTATTGATTCCAATTGTGGCTTCTGCTCTAAAGTAAGATTACATACACACACACACACACACACACACACACACACCAGGAGTAGCAGTATCTGGGACACTTACTGGAAATGCAAGTTCAGCCCTCCCCTCTCCCCCAGGCTAGACTTCTTCTTTCAGAAACAAAGGGGAGTTCACAGACTTTTTTTTTGCTTTTTCTATCTATCTATCTATATTTTTTTTCCTAGTCCTGGGGCTTGAACTCAGGGCCTGGGCACTGTCCCTGTGCTTCTTTTGCTCAAGGCTAGTGCTCTGCCACTTGAGCCACAGCGCCACTTCTTGTTTTTGCTGTGTATGTGTTACTGAGGAAACAAACCCAGGGCTTTATGCATGCTAGGCAAGCACTCTACCACTAAACCATATTCCCAGCCCAGTTCACAAGCTCTTTCAGGGAATTCTGAAGCACACCGAAGTAAGAGGTCTTATAGGTTGGGCTGGGATAAATTACACTTGCTTCAAAATACTCAAACGCAATTCTACTCTTCTGTTTTTCTCTTGAGAATAAATTGGAAGACTTGAGATTACAAAGATAACCTTGAATATATTCTGATTTTTTTTATTTTTTGTCAGTTGTGGGGCTTGAATTCAGGGCCTGGTGCTGCACCGGAGTTCTTTTGCTCAAGGCTAGTGCTCTATCACTTTGAGCCACAGCACCACTTCCAGTTTTTGAGTGGTTAATTGGAGATAAGAGTCTTACAGAGACTTTTCTGCTTGGGCTGTCTGTGAACTGCAATCCTCAGATCTAAGCCTCCTGAGTAGTTGGTATTACATGCCATGGACACTTGGCCTTATTTTTGTTCTTAAGCAGGTCATCTGGAAAACGTAGGAATTACTGGAGACAAGTCTAAAAGATAGACCACTGCCAAATCAGTGGATGAGCTGATACTTTGAATCCTTTATTCTTTCATTCTTTGAACACATATTTACTTTGTGTCAAAGAAATACAAACCCTGTGCCTCATGCTAGGGATGTATCCTTGATAGAGAAGTCCTTGGTGATATGAGGTTCTGGCTGGGAAATGAAGATAATTAGCAAGTAAACAGGACAAATTCAGAAAGTCATATGCACTGTGGAGAAAATCAAAGACAGTGATTGTCCATAGGAAGGAAAGGCAGTGATTTTTTTTGAGGTCTGAGGGTGAGAAGAAGCCACTAAAAGAGATCTGAGGCCAGAGAGTTCAAAACAGGAACATGCATGGTGAACAGAGGTCTTAAGACTCACACAAGTTTTGTGTGTTTCAGGAAGAGAAAACTGCCAGTGGGGTTAGTCTGGTGCTGGTGCAAACACTGTTCAGCCACCCCATTTCCGTGAGAAAATGCGTATGCGTGCCTCCTGGAACCAAACATTGAGCTCTGAGCACTTGGAGAGAGTGGAGCGACCCTCACTTCCCCATAACAGCAAGCCAAAATGGCCATGTGACTTAGGCTAACCCAATCAGAGGGAAGCTCTACTATCCCAGGGCTTCTGGTAACTACTATAGGACCTCTCAGGGCAGCAAGTTTATGACAAAGCGAATACAATGAACTTTTCTGTTTGTTTTTTGTGTTTTTTTTTTTTTTTGCCAGTCCTGGGGCTTGAACTCAGGGCCCTATCCCTAATCTTTTGCTCTAGGCTGACATTCTACCACTTGAGCCATGGCACCACTTCTGGCTTTTCCTGTTTATGTGGTACTCAGGAATCAAACCTAGGGCTTCAAGCATGCTAGGCAAGCACTCTACAAGGAATCCACATTCCCAGCCCAAGTTCAGGCTTACCTGCCTGCCTGCCTGCCTGCCTGCCTTCCTTCCCTGTCATGGGGCCTGAACTCTGGGCCTGGGAGCTGTCCCTCAGCTTTTCAGCTCAAGGCTAGTGCTCTACCACTTGAGCCACAATGCTACTTCCGGTTTTCTGAGTAGTTTATTGGAGGTAAGAGTCTCATGGACTTTCCTTCCTGGGCTGGCTTTGAACTGTGATCCCGAGATCTCAGCCTCTTGAATAGCTAGGATTACAGGTGTGAGCCACCAGCACCTGGCTGCTGTTATATTTTATGTCACCTCTAGATTACTTATAATCCCCAATACAATGAAAATGCTGTGGTGTTTAGGAAATAGGACCAACCCAGTATCAGAACCCCACTCAAGCTCCTCTCATGACAGCACATGAACACCCCAGCAGTCCCACAAAGCAGGTACATCTCCATGACCATGTCACCAAGACAGACCCACCCATAGGAGCTGTGCTCAGTGAAGGCTGGCAGCACAGTCAAAGGCCTTCCTACAATGGGGGGATTGGAAATCAACTATCTTTCCTGCCATGTCCACCTTTAACATTTTTAAACATACTTGAAACCGTGAAGTCTCAACAAGACACAACTGCTATTCTCAGCTCCTTCACAACAACTCAAGAGATCAGGGTTTTCCTATAGAACATTGCAACTTACAGCAAGCATAGTTTAAACTGGTTTAGAGGCTGGGAATGTGGCTTAGTGGCAAAATTTCCCCTTACCCCTTTTAAATCATGATTTATGTACTAGTTCCCTCCCTCTGCCCCTCCAGGGCTCTGGATCAAACTAGTTTTCTTTCCAGGCCTCTCTTATTTCCTTTCCGGCTGTTCTATGGGCCTACTTTCCTTACCAAGCCCCCATCAAGCACTAGCAGCTAAGGGTTGCTGGTGATGAATGACACAGACCCTGCCTCTAGACGTTTACAATCCAATGGACTGGGAATGTGGCTTAGTGGTAGAGTGCTTGCCTAGCATGCATGAAGCCCTGGGTTTGATTCCTCAGTAAGTACCAGAAGTGGTGCTGTGCTCAAGTGGTAACTTGAGCAAAAGGAGTTAGGGACAGTGCCCACAAACCTCAAGACTGGCCAAAAAATAAATGAATAAAATATTTAAAAAATAGAGAAGACCAAATAGGAATAAGATAGTTACAGCAGGGCACTGGTGGCTCATGCCTGGAATCTTATAGGAGCCTGAGATCGGAGGGTCATGATTCAGGTGGGGCTTAAACTCAAGGCCAGGGTGCTTTTGAACTCAAGACCTGCAATCTACCATTTGAGCCACAGCTCCATGTCAGTTTTTTTTTTTTTTTGGTAGTTGATTGGAGATAAGTCTCACAGAAGCCAAATACCAGTGGCTCACACCCATTAATCCTAACTCAGAAAGCTGAGATCCGAGGCTGACAGTTGGGGGCAAGTCAAGCCTCCAAGACTTACTTCTAATACCACTAGAAAACGCAAACTGGCACTGTGGCTCGAAATGGCAGAGAGTTAGCTTTGAGCCAAAAGCCAAGGACAACACCCATAACGCCTGAGTGCAAACCTCCAGGAACTGACCAACACAAACAAAAAGCATCAGCAACAAAGGTAGAGTGCTATAAAGTCCACCCGAGACCAGCTTCAGCAGTCTTGGTGTAAGATGAGAAATAACAAGAAAAATAAGTGGAGAAAAATTGAGCTAAGAGAAACTTCAAAGGCAGCAGGAAGGGTAAAGCTTCAGGGGCTTACAAAAAAAAAAAAAAAAGCAAAATTTCCACCCTTAAAAAACTTGCCTACTCCAGTACTTAGTACCACAATAAACAGTATACTGTACAAAAACGATATAGAAAGTATTAAAGCATTGGGCAAGCAGCTGTTACAACCTAAAAACATTTCTTTCTTTAAACTACTTTTAAGAAGCCGAAAACCACTCAGACTGCGTTCTCTCCCTCTAACCCTTCCCGAAGGAAGGGAAGAACGATCATCAATGGCAGAAGGCAGTTGCAGTAAAGCAACACCAAGAGCCGGCTTCACGCTCAGGAGAGAACACTACGCCTCTTCCTCGTGGTTTCGGGTGCTCTACACGATCAGTGAGATTTCTCTAGTAACGAACTATAGAAATGATCCCTGAAAGTATAGTCTTAACGAAAGGTAATCCGTCCTTCCCAAGTCAGAAAAATCAACACATATTTTGCTTACGGTGAGTCGTTCATAAATTAATATCTCCGCCCCCGGGCAAGTATAGAACTAAGCATCCTACAGGATATCTTTTGTTTTCATAATTTGCAGAGAATTTCGAACAACTTAGATTTTGCCGTCACGTCAAATTTTATGCTCATTAGCATACAGTGACTGAACAACCAATCCAATCGCTCGCCAGTTGTTTCCAACACCGCCCCCTCACTTCCGTGGCGCGTAAGGTTGCGCAGCAATACTGACGCGTACAGAGTGCGCCTTAGAGCCGAAGATAACGTTCCATGGCACAGCGCTTTACCTGTCATGTCGGATTCAATGCCCATCACCGCTTTAAACAGTAACTAAAAAGGCTGAGACTGTGGCTCAGTGGTAGAGCGCTTGCCTCACATGCGTGCAGAGAAAAGCTGGAAATGGTGCTGTGGCTCAAGTGGTAGAGCACTAGCCTTGAGCCGAAGAGCTAAGGGACAGTGCCCAGACCCCCTTGACCGACAAAAACAAATACATTTAATTAACTTTGGCAGTACTGGGGTTTGAATTCAATGAGTCCAAATACACAGAGCTAGCCTAAGTCGGGATCATCAACATTACTATTGGACTATTTTTTTGGTCGGTTGTGGGGCCTGAACTCTGGGGCCTGGGCACTGTCCCTCAGCTCTTCAGCTCAAGGCTAGCGCTCTACCACTTGAGCCACAGTGCCATTTTCTGCTTAAATGGTACTGAGGAATCGAGCCCAGGGCCTCATGCATGTGTGGCAAGCACTCTACCACCTTCCCAGCCCCCTCTCCCCACTTTACATTTTAAGCAGGGACTTGTAAAGGAAGACCTGGAAGAAATCAAGGAACTAAGGATTTCAATGAGAGCATAGGAAGTAACAAGTCCATCTTCCTAAATTCAGTGAATGGAAATTTGTTTTGCCTACCAGTTAGTCTGAGAGTAATGAAAAGCAGGAAAAAAAAAGGAGGGTAGGAAGACAATAATCATCTAGCAACCATCTAAACATTTTTTTTTGTTGTTGTTGGTTGTGGAGCTTGAACTCTGGACTTGGTAAACATTTATTATTTATTTATTTAGGTGCTGATTCTGTGGCTTGAACTTAGAGCCTGGGCCCTGTCTTTGAGATTCTTTACTCATGGCTAGTACTCCACTTCTGGTTTATTGGTAGTTAATTGGAGATTAAGTTAGTAGTCTTTCCTGCCTGGGCTGGCATCAAACTCAGCCTTTTAGTTTTGTCTGCCATGGGGCTTGAACTCAGGGCCTTGGTACCACTCCTGAGTTCTTTTGTTCAAAGTTAGTGCTCTACCACTTTGACCTACAGCTCTATAGCTCCACTTCTGGCTTTCTGGTGCTTAATTGGAGTCAGATTTTTCTGCCTGAGCTGGATTTGAACTGCAATTCTCAGATCTCAGCCTCCTAAGTAGCTGGGATTATAGGTGTGAGCCACCAGCACCCAGCAATCTAAACCATTTGTTTTATTATTATTATTTTTTTAATTTTTGGTCGGTCTTGGGGCTTGAACTCTGGGCCTGGGCACTGTCCCTGCACACTTCAGCTCAGGGCAAGTGCTCTACCACTTGAGCTACAGTGCCACTTCCAGTTTTCTGGTGGTTTATTGGAGATAGGAGTCTCATGATCTCTCCTGCCTGGTCTGGCTTTGAACCTTGATCCTCAGATCTCAGCCTCCTGAGTAGCTAGGATTACAGGTGTGAGCCACCAGCGCCCAGCTTAATCTAAACCATCAAGTCTACAGTTCAGCAGTGTTGTCTGTTTACATTGTTTTGCAACTAATTCCCAGAATATTTTTACACTGCAAATCCTGAAACTATATACCCCTTAAACAACTCCTCATTTTCCTCTTTCCCTGGCAGTGATCACTCTCATATTCTATGAACTTGACTACCCCCAAAAAGAGGCGGATCCTACAATGTTTCTTTTCTTGTGGCTAGCTCCTTTTCAAGCTTCACCCATGTTGTAGCCTGTGCTAGAATTTAATTCTTTTTCTTTTCTTTTGTTTGTTTCTCTCTTTCTTTCTCTCTCTCTCTCTTTCTCTCTCTCTTTCCTCCCTTCCTTTCTTCCTTCTTTCCTTCCTTCCTTCCTTGCTTTCTTTTTTTTTGCCAGTCATGGGGCCTGAACTCTGGGCCTGGGTGCTGTCCCTCAGCTCTTCAAGCTCAAGGCTAGCACTCTACCACTTGAGCCACAATGCCACTTCTGGCTTTTTTTTTCTGCTTATGTGGTGCTGAGGAACTGAACCCAGGGCCTCATGCATGTAAGGCAAGCACTCTACCACTGAGCCACCTTCCCAGCCCCCTTCCTTGCTTTCTTGCTTTCTTTCCTTTTGTTGGTCATGTCTCTTCCAGACACTTGTAGGTTTTTTTTTCAATCAGGCTTGAACCCTGGGCCTGGGCACCGTCCCTGAGGTCTTTAGCTCATGGCAAGCGCTCTACCACTTGAGCCACAGTGCCATTTCTGGTTTTCCTCAGATCTCAACCTCCTGAGTAGCTAGGATTATAGGCAGGAGCCACCATGTCTGGCTCCTAGGTTTTTACAAAAACAATAATAGCTGTCCTGCTAGGTGTGAACTGTTTTTGCTAAAAAATGTTTAATTGTTCCAACACTTCTTGCAGAAAAAGACTATCCTTTCTCTACTGAGTTGGCTTTACACAGAGAGAAAATACTGGGAAATTATATATATATATATTATTCATACACACACACACACACACACACACACAAACACACACAATCTGTATCACAAAGTGTTTACAGAATTCCCAAGATGAAGCACTAAGGAAATCAAGTTGAAATCAGAACTTGGTTCAAAACCAGACAAAGCAAAGTCCATGAGATTCTTTTTTTGTTACTTGTAGGGCTTGAACTCAGGGGCTGGGCACTGTCCATGAGGCTTTTCAGCTCAAGTCTACCACTTGAGCCACAGATCCACTTACGGTTTTCTGGTGGTTAACTGAAGATAAGAGTCTCACAGACTTTTCTACCTGGGCTGACTTTGAATCACAATCCTCTGATCTTAGCCTCCTGAGTATCTAGATTTACAGGTATAATGAAACTCTTATCTCAAAACAAAAAAACAACAGCCTGGGAAGGTGGCTCAGTGGTAGAGCGCTTGCCTTGCATGCATGAGGCCCTGGGTTCAATTCCTCAGCATCACATAAAGAAAAGCCGGAAGTGGCGCTGTGGCTCAAGGGGTAGATCGCTAGCCTTGAGCTGAATAGCTGAGGGACAGTGCCCAGGCCCAGAGTTCAGGCCCCATGGACCCAAAAAAATAAACAAACAAAACAAAACAAAAACAGTAAAAAGTCCAAATTAGAGATATGTCCTTGAGTGGTAGAGTAACAGCCTTGAGTGAAAAAGCTAAGGGAACTGAATTCATAAGATATCAGCCAGGCCGGGAGCTGGTGGCTCACGCCTGTAATCCTAGCTACTCAGGAGGCTGAGATCTGAGGATCAAGGTTCAAAGCCAGGAGAGACCATGAGACTCCTATCTCCAATAAACCACCAGAAAACTGGAAGTGGCGCTGTTGCTCAAGTGGTAGAGCACTCACCTTGAGCTGAAGAGCTGAGAGAGCTGAGGTACAGCACCCAGGCCCAGAGTTCAAGCCCCATGACTGACCAAAAAAAAAAAAAAAAAGATATCAGCCGGGCTGGGAAGGTGGCTCAGTTGTTGAGTGCTTGCCTTGCATGCATGAGGTCTTCGGTTCGATTCCTCAGCACCACATAAGCAAAAAGCCGGAAGTGGTGCTGTGGCTCAAGTGGTAGAGTGCCAGCCTTGAGCTGAAGAGCTGAGGGATAGCACCCAGGCCCAGAGTTCAGGCCCCACGACCGGACCCCCCCTCCACCCAAAAAAGAATAGTTAGCAGATTTTTCTTCTGTTCTGTGGGTTGTGTTTTTCCTCTCTTGATTGTATACTTTGAAACACAATTTTTTTTGTGTGTGTGGGGCTTGAGCTCTGGGCCTGGGGGCTGTCCCAGAGCTCTTCAGCTCAAGGCTAGCACTCTACTACTTGAGCCACAGTGCCACTTCCAGCCTTTTCTGCTCATGTGGTGCTGAGGAATCGAACCCAGGGCCTCATGCATGCAAGGCAAGCACTCTACCACTGAGCCACCTTCCCAGCCCCCACAAATGTTTTTAATATTGTTGAAATCCTTTACATGTAATTTGGTTCCTTGGGCCCCACATTTTTTTTTTTTGTCAGTCATGGGGCTTGAATTCTAGGCTTGGGTGCTGTCCCTGGGCTTTTCAGCTCATGGTGGGCGCTCTACTACTTGAGCCACAGTGCCACTTCCGTTTTTCTAATGGTTTATTAGAGATAAGAGTCTCATGGAATTTCCTGCCCAGGCTGGCTTTGAATGGCGATCCTCAGATCTCAGCCTCCTGAGTGGCTAGGATTACAGACGTGAGCCACTGGTGCCCGGCTTGAGCCCCACATTTTTGAAAAACATTGCATACCTTTCCTTATCAGACAACTGGATTCTTCTTCCTCTTTTCTGCTTTTCCATAGAAACTTAAACTGTAACTTTTATTTATTCTCAGAAAGGCAAAGACCAAGACTACTGGCTTCTTCAACAGCATGAGCAAACAAGCCACCCGAAACGGTGAAAAGAGATGTCACATACAGATGAATGAGACCAGCACAGGGTAGGGACAAGTACAAACAATTCTACAGAGAGAGCAAGAACATCATATGGATCTAAGGTTCTACCCCCTCCTGGCTTGGTGCTAAACTTTCTTCAACCAGTGGCCTCTGTTTTGGATAGCTGAAGAGACAAGAGAACAGAGGAAAGAACATAGCTGGGCTGTACCACTTGAGTGGTGGCTCCATTTCTAGCCTTTTAGAGATTAATTGGAGATGAGTCTCAAGGTTCCTGCCCAGCTGGCTTCACATTGTAATTCTCAGATTTTAGCCTCCCTAGGAGCTAAGATTACATGTGTGAGCCACCTGCTTCCTGAGTTACGAATCTGAAAGCCCTTCAGCCAAGCAGTTCAGAGCCAGAGTGTCACATGGCTCTAAGTCTCAGGGTTCTCAAAAAGCCTTTAATGACTGTAGCAGTTGGTTTTCACTACTGTAATGACATGCCTGAGGCAAACTACTTAGGAAGAAAGGAAGTTTATTTGGCTCACAGTTCCAGATGTTTAAAGTTCAAGATTGGGCATTAGTTCAGCTTCTGATGAGGGCAGTGTGTGGCATCACATCATGGCAGGATTGGATGTAGCAATATGCAGCAAACAGAAGGAGGAGGGGCTATACTTGCCCTCCTCAGTACAAACATCTTTATTTTTCTTACCTATTATTAAGAATATTAAGAGTATCTGAGCAAAGTGTCGGTGGCTGACGCCTGTAATCCTAGGGGACTGAGATCTGAGGATTCTGGCTCAAAGCCAGCTGGGGCAGGAAAGTCTGTGAGACTCTTACCTCCAATACACCACTAGAAAACCGGAAGTGGTGCTGTGGGCTCAACTGGTAGAGCGCTCGCCTTGAGCTGAAGAGTACAGGGACATCACCCAAGCCCAGAGTTCAAGCCCCACGACCGACAAAAAAAAAAAAGAAAGAGAAAAGAGTATCTGCTCTGGGCTGGGAAGGTGGCTCAGTGGTAGAGTGCTTGTCTTGCTTGCATGAGGCTCTGGGTTCGATTCCTCAGCACCATATAAGCAGAAAAGGCTGGAAGTGGCACTGTGGCTCAAGTGGTAGAGCGCTAGCCTTGAGTTGAAGAGCTGAGGGACAGGGCCCAGGCCCAGAGTTCAGGCCCAGGACTGGAAAAAAAAAAAAAGACTATCTGTTTTGTTCAAGGCACTAAAAAAAACTGTATGCTGGCCACTGGTAATCCTGCCTATAATGCCTGTAATCCTAGCTGCTCAGGAGGATGAGATCTGAGGATCTGAGTTTGAAGCAGGCTGGCCAGTAATGTCGACAGACTCTTATCTCTAGTTAACCACCAGAAAACCAGAAGTACTGTGACTCAAGGTAGTAGAGCACTAGCCTTGAGCAAAAGAGCTCTATAATCTAAAAACCATGCTTCCAAGTCCACTCAAGAGACTCATTTCCAATTAACCAGCAAAAAGCCAGAAGTGGAGATATGATTCGGGTAAGGGACAGTGACTAGGCCCTGAGTTCAAGCCCCAATACTGGTAGAAAACAAACAAACAAACAACAAAATAACAACAAAACAACCCTGTTTGTTAAGTGTATGCCTGAGGTTATTGAACAATTAACTATCCACCAGGCATTGTTGGAAGGCACGGGAGACAGATCCTTCAGTGAACAAGTCAATCAAAGTAATGCCATGAGATCTCCCCAGTTGTGTCTGAGATGTCATCTGGGTTGGGTCAGGTCAAGGGTCAGTGTGGGCTCCTAACTCCTATTTCCCCATTTTCCCTACTGGCCTCTGACTGAGCACCCTGAGGTGCCCAACTTTGGTTCCTTCATCCTCTCGTTAGGAACCTAAGTTCCAGGGCAGCTGGAACTCTCTCTGGCTCACAGCACAACGCAGCAAATGCTCCAAAGACCCAAGTTTGTGTCGTGGAGGCCCCCAGCTGCTCCGGGACACAGGTCTGTTTCGTGGGGGGCCACGGCTGCTCCATCCTCTGCTGCTGCCGCGGTGGACGCAGGGAGCCCGGGACAGCTCTTGGGAGAGAACTGCAAGCTGAGAACCGTGAGGGAGGACATCCGAAGCCTGCAGCACCTGGAGCTGTCC